TATTATACGTATATATTTTTTATAAGCATTTAAAAATTCGGTAAAATGCTAGTCTGACTCCCATACCGAAGGTTCCGTAGCAAAAAACATAAAAATAAGTTTTTTTTATAATACTTTCTTAGATTTACGCGAATACTTGACATTTTAAATAAAACTATCTTTTCGGATTTTTTCGCGAATTTATTTTGATTTTTGGTTCCCGACGTTTCGAATGCTTTGAAAATTTCAATTTTTTTAATTCATTTTGTTAATTGTGGGTAGGCTGTCTGTAACAACTATATAATACCTTAGAGACATCTAACACCTCAGTCTCTCCCGTGACCATGATTGCTGTAAAGCATTTGAAACGCCGGGAACCAAAAATCAAAATAAATTCGCGAAAAAATCCGAAAAGATAGTTTTATTTAAAAAAAAATTTTTTGTGATGTAACTACAAAATTACATGTTTTGGATTATTCCCTTTACTTGTGCTATAAGATATTTTTTGTTGCCAAATGTCACGATTATAGGTTAATGGGAATTACCCTATAGGTTTTGATTCCCTTGCGAGTTCCTTATCGAGCGTCAAAATATGCGACACAGATGGCCGTATCATTTGATTACGTTGACTTAGAAGTTTGATGATTTTTCGCAGCTCGAAGGTTTTGCAGAGCTGAATATTTGATATTAATTTTAACTTGATACCTCTACGCGTTCTCGAGAAAAAGGGTCCAGACAGACGGACGGACTGACAACAAAGTGATCCTATAAAGGTTCCTTTTTTTATCTTTTGACCTGCGGAACCCTAAATATTGCCAAATTATCTGATGTTGTTTAAGCGATGCATTTACCTACGAACAGCATCTCATTTATCTTTACATATATAGAGATTTAATTGTGCCAGAAGGACACACGACATAAATGATCACGAATGGTCGTCTAGAATGCAAAACACTTAATCGACCTATAGGGAAAATTACAATATAGGTTTCTAGGATAATTATTAAATTGACTACATTAAAACACATTATTTTATTATACAAACTAGCAAGTATTTTAACCGACTTCAAAAAAAGGATGTTCTCAATTCGATTGTATTTTTTTTTTTGAGTATGTTAGGATATGTTTTCGCCAATTATAAATCGATTTTCAGAATTTGCTTTTAGTAAGCGTTGCTCCTAAACTTAACCCCTGTTTTCTTTTGCTTCAACAGAGGATAAGTTACTGTTTATAATGTACATACACTATAACTAATAATATCACTTATAATAATTTTTTTATAACATCAACTTTTTCATACAAAAAAATTACAGACCTTCACAAGTCTTTTCAACCGACTTCAAAAAGGAGGAGGTTCCCAATTCGACTGTATTTTTTTTTAATGTTTGTTACCTCAGAACTCCGTCATTTCTTACCCGATTTGGACAATTTTTGTGTTGTTTGAAAGTGTATAATTTCAGATTGGTCCCATTTAAATTTCAAAAAAAAATACCACCCCTAAGGGTGGAAAAATAGCTAGTGATGAATTTAACCTACTTCTAATTGTCATATTGACTTGAACCTTTGCAAGTGTTTCTATTTCCGTTGATAGTACAGTGGTTCGGTGTTGTTGACCTGATCTGATGGTAAGGCCAGAAGGTAGATAGGTGGAACTCTTCAACGGCTAATAGTAGATACTTTGAGTTTGGGCTTATTTTGTTTGATTTGACAAGCCTAACACGTTAGAATTCTTACTTTGCTACTACTGTCTACACTAAAAAGGGAAAAATAATAACTTTTTAACAAAAAAATAATAACCGACTTCAAACAAAAGCACTAAAAAGTAAAAAATAACTGATTGGTAGTTTTCATTTACTATACATACCTAATCAAATATCTTCGAAGTCGGTGTGCTTTGGCTAAGTACTCGTAATTAAAGCCTACCTATTAAATACATATTTTCGAAATCGGTGCCAGCCCGTACAAAGCAAAGCACACCGACTTCGAAAATATTTGATTAGGTATGTATAGTAAATGAAAACTACCAATCAGTTATTTTTTACTTTTTAGTGCTTTTGTTTGAAGTCGGTTTTTATTTTTTTGTTAAAAAGTTTTTCTACATACTTATCTAATTTACGCACTTAACGCGTCGAACACCGAACCCAACTGTACAGTAGTCAGTACCAGACATGTCCTACTGAGATATGAGGGCTTGTAATCTTTTTGGTAAATCGAAAATAGGCCATGCGGGCTGAATGTAAATAGCTTATCTATGAAATTATTTAGCATTTAATGGCTTATAATTAAAAAATATTAGGTCATTGCCGACTGTAAATTTTATCTCGCTAGGGTTTCGCACTAGGAGATTTTAAACTATGTATTTATATAAAAGAGATAGACCCAAATATAGAATAATTAATTATTTTTATATATATCATCCAAAGCTTCCATCGTAAGTTACGAGTACTAACGTGTTTTTGGAATATATGGCAACAGGACTAAATGAAAGTAAAAAACTGGATTTTAGTGCGGATAGGTTTTCAAAGACTTCAAAAAGGGTGTTCTCAACTCGAATGTATTTTTTTTGTGTACGTTACGATATATTTTCGCCAATTATAAAATCGATTTTCAGAATTCTGCCTTTCTTGAAGGTTGCGCCCCTGAACTACCTAATTTTGTTTTTGATCTGGTTTAAGTAAGTGACAAAAGGAAAACAAAAACGTATTATTATTTATCCCTCAAATTGTAAACGTTTTACAATTTGAGGGATAAATCGTAATTTATTTATCATATATTCATATATCCAACAGCAACTTCAGCAAATAGCAATTCACTTCAAAACTCACATACTCCTGTGCTAAAATGCTTTTTCTTTAGGATATTACTGCGTGTTACGGGAAAGCTACAGGATATCTTTCCCGTAACACGCAGTAACACTATTCTTTTTCGGAATAAAAAGTGGCCTTTTTTTTGTTGTCACTGGGGGAAACCCATCATGGGAGCCCTGCCCGCCGTCATAACGGACAAGGTACTGTGAAACTCCTATTCACTAAAACCCACAGCGGAACCCGTCGCCGCAGTACAATGGGGCGTTGCAGGATCGCTTGCGCATTCAATAAATAAATTCAAGTCGCCTGCGGTCGACCCGTACCTCGCGAGCCATCGGAATAAAAAGTGGCCTAGGCCGAGAGTGATTTCGACCGAATAATCGATCTGCCAGAATAACTTTTTTATAATATATTTTTTATCAATATCATATTGTCTTAAATGCCATATTTTGCTTCTCAATGAAGGTTAAATATTTAGAAATTGCCGAAATACAAAAGATTAAGAGAGAGTTAAACGATGTAGGAACAACCAAGCCAAGATAAATAGAAATGATTTTTTTATCTGAATTCTCTACGGTTGACGAGATCGATCGTCACGAGATATTATTTACAAATTATTTATTTAGTTACATTTAATAACATTATAAAAATAATAAAGCCGACTGCGTAAAAACAAACTAAAAAGATGAAAGCATGATGTAGAAATAATTTTTTTATTAGTACCTATGCCTATTTTTATTATCATATTTTTAAAAGATTATCGTTTTATAATACATATGTACATAATATGTATAGTAAAATAAAAGGATATATAAGAATAAAGGGACAAAAATTATACCTATAATACATGCTATCGTGTAAATTACTGTTAAAATTAACTTTTATATATGTATATACTTATTCTCTGTATAAGTGACGTGTGTACTTTAAGAGAACTAAATGTCTTTAACCCTTTTAAGTATTTACCACCCTCCTTTGGACTTCGCCGTAGTCGGGTAAATAGACGAAGGCAAGACATTTATGTACATATTTTTCATCTGTTTGCTAATTGATTTTCTTTTTTTTTTGTTTTGTAGCTATTGATGTGTTTGTTTGTCAATAAAAAAGTGTTATTTTAAAATCAACCTCTCTTTTCGGAATATTTCGCAGATTTATTTTCACTTTTGATTCCCGACGTTTCGAATGCTTTACAGCCAATCATGGTCACGCGAGAGACTGAGGTTATAGACGTCTCAAAGGCATTATTATATACTTGTTACAGACAGTGCCACAACATTGCAACAGTGCAACATCCACAATTTCACAAAAATGATTTCAAAAATGCAAAAAATGGCACCAAAATAACTTACAATATTTATTGATTTTAAATCTAAACATTTTAATTTTTTTAACTAGTATTATTGTACTTAAATATGGCAATATTGTTTATTTAATTTTAGCTATTATTATTATAATAATTATAAATATTACAATTTTAAAAAAGTATTATGTTCGAATTTCGACCATTTTTACGTTTATTATTAAAATGTTATTTAAAGTATATCTTATATCTTGCACACCTCCATTACGATATATATCAGATATTTAGTATGTACATTGTAATAATATGACCACGTTTTATGAAATTTATGAGAATATTTTACATGCATGTTCAGAATTAAATAAATATGCAACTATGCATTGGTCGTCATTTGTGTCAGTTAGATTAGTCGTGATAGAAGTGCATTAGGTTCTAGGACGTATTCAAGTAATATTATACTTATAGTACAGAAAGTATTTTGATAATGAGTGTAATTTAAATTTTTTTGGGATCTTTGAGTTCGTGTAAATTTTTGATCGAAAAGAGTATTTTTTTGTTTTTCCTGAATTTCCCAATATTTTGGGATTTTTCTCCGGTTAACTCTTAGAAGGCAAACCCAAAGCCAGTATCATCTCAGTCGAATTACATCCACTGCTGGACCTATGTCCACAAAAAATGCCTCCCCAAAAAATTCACACAACTGCCGGTCTTACGCCATCCACATCCAGCGACTTTGACCAAGACGTCGGTCCACCTTCCAGGAGACCTTCCCACGCTTCGCTTTCTTAATACTTTTTGTGTAGTATTATTGATGTTGTCATTAATCGACCGGCTCGGGACCGGGGATTCAGTGAGTTAAAATGAAATTTCGGTTCTGTATTATATGTAGATTGATAAAATTTCCTTTGTTTCAGAGAAAACAATGGGGTGGCACACCGCCCTCTTCCTGCTGGCCGCAGTCCAGCTCAGCGCACAGTACCTGTTGCCTGGCGACGTGACTCCTTCACATTACGATGTCCGACTAATATACGACATAGACCCGAAGAGCAACTTCAGCTTCTTCGGTGTAGTCGACATTTTGGTAAGTTTGCTAAAAAAAATTTCTAAATAAATCTAAACATATAATAAAATTCTAATTGAGCCGAATCTATAGTTTTTAGAATTTTTGTCTGTCTGTCTGAGAACGCATCACAAGAAAACCACTGGACAGATTTTGATGAAATTTGGTATGATGATAGCTGGTTATCCGGGTCAACACATAGGATATCTTTACTGCGAGAAAATATCTCTTAAGTGTCTAACTTCGCATGTGTGTGCATATAAATATATCTAAAGGTACGCACATATGTATATAACTTAAGGTAGCTATAAATAACGTGCGGTAGGGGTTTCGGCTTCGGGTGACATCCAGTTGGGGGTAACATCCGTCTATTTACGATACACAAAATAAAAAAAAAACGTCTCCACCATCCTTTCGTGCCTGCGGCTGCCATCTGTTTGAGAGTGACACATGTAAAAAGCCTGTGATTGTGTAAGTGCTGCCTGTTTGGGGGGTGGTACATATGTATATTATTATGCAAACGATTCAATTTTTTTTATATTTACTTACACCCCTATATATTGACAATTAGAAATTATACCAATTGAAAAGTTAAAGCACAATGTGACTAAAAAATGTAAGTTAGTGCTAAGTAAAGCTGGAATGGAGTGCTAGTATCAATACCTATAGAAGGAAATAACAGAATACAACGATATAGAGATATATTTTAATAACTAGCATTGCCCGCGGCTCCACCCGCGTCCGATGGCGTCGATGACCGAAAACCAAATTTTTAGGTTTTACATATTAGTATACTCTTACAATGCAGTTTTTGTATTTTTTCTCAGAAATGAGACAATTTTCCGCGGTAAAAAGTATCCTATATGTTGACCTGGATAAACAGCTATCATCATACCAAATTTCATCAAAATCACTTTAGCGGTTTTTCCGTGATGCGGTAACAGACAGACAGACAGACAGACAGACAAAAATTCTAAAAACTATAGATTCGGCCGCTGTATCGATAATAATAACTATTTCAATAAGATTTTCCAAAAAATATTTAATGTACAGATTTGACTCGGTTCGTATTTTATTATATACATATAGATTAAATATTTTGAAATAGTCTAAGCTATCGATAAGCGATAAAAAAATAGGTACTTGGAAACGCACAAACAGTATATAATGACGAGTAATGACTTCCTCCGTGAAAATGAACGGTGTATTTTTAGTAAAAATGGACTCATTATAATATGGCGTGCAGTCTTTTAAAACACATGTTATTTAACCTACTGACCTGAGCTGTAGGCTCCCATTTACATACATGTGTGTTCATTTTATGTTAACAAAAATAGCCATAGAATACTCAAAAAACTACATTTATACAATATCCATACAATGGTAAAATTCTACTTTGTTTATTTCAAAGGAATATTTAAAAATGTATGAGAATATTCAATGTCGAATGTACTTGAAGACTGCATCACGAGATAAATGCCTATCGCAGACTGCTGTGGGTGGTGGTTTGTATGACCAATACAAATATTCGCCTCTTCTCCAAATAAGGCAACACTGCCCCAAATAGATTTTCAAGTGTGTATTTGTATGTAACATGGTTATTGGGTTTTTTTTTTTAATTTACGACATAATTACAAGAGATAATTTTATTTTTGATTAATTATTTTAATTTTGTATAATTTTCTAATATGTACGTACAGATATGTAGATATTAAATACCTATTAGCGACTCACCCTCGATCCGATCGGGTTCGTCCCTAAGTACGTTTTAACGTTTAATATAGATTTCTCAGAGGTAAAATATTTTTTCCGCAGCAAAAAACTAGATTCGGCCTCTATATCAATAATAATGACTATTACAATAAGATTTTCCAAAAAATATTTAATGCACACATTTGACTCAGAATCTATACATATAATAAAATTGTAACTAAGTCGAATATATAGTTTTTAGAATTTTTGTCTGTCTGTCACTGAACTTCTCTCAAACGACTGGACCGATTTTGATGAAATTTTTTGTGTGTGTTCAAGGGGATCTGGGAATGGTTTAGATTCACAATTTGAATAATAATTTTCATCAAAAAAATTATTAAAAAAAGTTTGAAATTTTCAAATTAAAGACGTGTAGACAGGACAACGTCTGTCGGGTCCGCTAGTCTATACATATAATAAAATTGCAACTAAGCTGAATCTGTACATTAAATATTTTTTGAAAAATCTTATTGAAATATAAATAATGACTTATTATTGATACAGCGGCCGTATCTATGGTTTTTAGATTTTTTGTCTGTCTGTTACCGCATCACGGAAAAACCACTGGAGGGATTTTGATGAAGTTTGGTATGGTAATAGCTGGTTATCCGGGTCAACATAAAGGATACTTTTTACCGCGATAAAATATCTCATTTCTGAGAAAAAAATACAAAAACTGCATTGTAAGAGTATACTAATATGTAAAACCTAAGAATTTGGTTTTTGGTCAACTGAACAACGCGAGCGGAGCCGCGGGCAATGCTAGTTTTATTATATGTATAGATGTGATACACTGGCACATTTCTCATAATAGTGCAATTATAAAATAAGTGCACGTGTCAAATAGGAAACCTTCGCACTAACATTGCCTCGCGCACGTCGAGCATGACAAGTAGGCGACTGACCTCTCTATGTATACATACATTCTGTTCAGACAGTATACATTCTGCAACTATCGTCATAAAATATATATATATATGGCCCCCGATATATATAAATAGGCAAAGAGAAAACAGTACAGCGCCTTTTTCTCCTCTATTTGTCAACCAATTTTCTTTTTGAAGGTATACTTCTTTTGGCGCGATTCTAAAAAAATTGAGAGTAAAATTTTTACGATGCACGCGCACTCTGATAGCAAAAAAGCGACATGATGAAGTTAGCTGAAAGTGACATGATGAAGTCAGCTGCATTTATTTTAAAAACAGAGAGCTGTGACATAGGGGTGAAATCTTTAGATATTTTTGGTCTGTTACACCAAAGAAGTATGACTTACTACGTGCTAACTTTTTACGTGCGTACATAAGTTCACACATACACACACGGTTTTTTTTGTTTAGTAGTTACCAATAAAATGATTTCATTGAATTTCGACCACCGGACGAACACTTGTACTAATAATTTTATAATTCACCTATAATGAGTAACATAATGGTCCACCAATAATGATTATTTATGAGCGCCGTACCAAAGTCGCAAAGAGTTTGACCTTGACCTTAAAAAAAGAAATAATAATAAAAAATCTCGCTGAATTTCTTTCAGCATCATCAGGCAGTAGTAGCTCGGTAATAACGCGCTCAGTTGGGAAACGAAGTATAGTGGGTTCAAATCCCGGTTCTCGCACTTCAGATATCTTCGTGTGCGATAAATTTTCAACATGATTATCACTCGCCTTACGGTAAAAGAAAACATCGTGAGGAAACCTGCATGTCTTAAAGAACTAGTTTTCGAAAGAGATGATATGATGACCCCCAAACTGCACTTGGTCAGCGTGTTGGACTATGGCTTCATCCCCTTAGTCTTTAAGGGAGGCCCATGCCCAACAGTGGAATGATAAAAAAGGCCTTAATACGATTTGTTTCTCAAGTCCATCTTAGGGCTGAAGTTTTTTCTTTTCGAAGAAGTGGAAGACTCATGACATCCAGTAAAAAAATGCTGAATATTTTTTTTTTTACTTTGAATGTATATCTTATATATTGGTGAGATATTATTAGTAAGCCTACTTACGCTATCTGTCCGTATGTATATACTATTTGTAACGGGTTATATATTTTAAACAATGAAATGAAGCTGGTTGAAATTAAAAAAAATATAAAGTATACATTTACGGGAATTTCCCATATAAGAAACGTATTTCTTATTGAAATGGTAAATAAGCGTTACGTTTTGTAAAGCATGAGTCATGTAGCGGTAGGTAGGTAGGGTAGGTATTGATCCAATTGATGACAGATACAGACTAATTCGACCACAAAGAGGAAATTCGACCAAAATCATATTGAAAATTTGAGGAAAAAATATATGAATAGAATTTACCTTTCTCAGTGTCTATACAATAAAAAACTGTTACCGACATTTTTTTATTGACAATATGTACTAAAGCTCGTTAATAACTGCTAAATAAAGAAGAAAATCGGTTGACAAACACTCTTTTACAAATATGGTTAGCTATTCGCCGACACGTTTGGCTCAGTTTGTAATGACACTACTTGCTGTGCCAGCGGTCGCGGGTTCGAGTCCCGCTGGGGAGCATTCATTTGTGTGATGAGTCATGGATGTTTATATTTATAATATGTATGTATTTCAAGTTATATATGTATAATGTATCAACTATCTGGTATCCATAACACAAGCCTCGTAGCTTACCATGGAACTAGATGGTGTTGTGTGTGTTAATGTCCTGACATATTTATTTATTATTATTTATTATTAAGCTGTACATTGAAAATGTATGAGTATAGCATATCTAAGTATTGTCTTGTGGTTACGTTCTACAACAACAGTATTCAAGTGGACAGTCACTTGGATAACTATTAAAAAAAGAAATATACGGTTACTGACTATATTCTTTGCTTTAAATAATACATTCTACAAGGAAAAAGCATTTTAATATTAGATATTAATGTAAGATTCACAGCGTCCTTTTGAATTAGTCAAATGTCAAATATTCGCGTAAATCTAAGAAAGTTTTAAGCGTCCTTTTAATTCCTTTTCACGCTTAAACCACTGATTTCGATGTAATTTAATTTAATTATGATTATTTACCTATCTTATCATATAATAAAATAGCTAATTTTTTCTTTTTTTTAGTAGCTGGATGAGCTTTATTGTTATCAAAAAAATTGAAAAAGTTTTTTATACAGATATGTAAATTGTATATACATATGTTTTCCTCAAATTTTTAATAATCGTTACATTTGATTTAAATAAATTTTCGATCAGAAAATGCAGATAAATTGATAATGTAGTGTAACTGCTTACGTACATTTATAATG